CCTTCAATAATATTTTTAAATATTGTTTTCCTTTGAGTATAGCAAATGTTATTGTTTGTGTTATTATTGCTCAATTTCAAACAATTTGCTATTTATGATGCAAAAACAGTACGAGTTGAAGGAAAACCAAATAATTTTATTAGAATTTTTCATAATTTTGTTTGGTGTCTGTTTTACAATAGAAGCCTTTTTATTGGTACATTACAATTGATGTTATTATGTAGTAGCTAAATGTAAAATTTTATAATTTTAAATTTCTTCATTATTTTTCTGAATTTCTCTGAACATTTTTGAATAAATTATTGATGCTTTCTACTGTTATATCGCTACTGTTATACAACGCTTTTTTGTTTTTGTATTTCTGAATTTCTACAAACATTTTTGAATAAATTATTGATGCTTTCTACTGTTATATCGCTTCTGTTATACAACGCTTTTTTGTTTTTGTATTTCCTTCTATTTTTTGTCAAATTTTCCTATAACAATGCAATATTTTGCTTCTGATAATGCGTTTTTGGCTGAAATTTTATTACAGTGTTTTTGTAATTTGAGGGTGTTTGAAATTTTATTACAGTGTTTTTGTAATTTTATAATATAGCCAGTGCTGTAGTGGAGGGTATACGGGGGTATACGCCGTATACCCTATGCTTTTAAAAATTAGATAGCGCATACCTAGTGGTTTTACTTAAAAATAGCGTATACCCTATGATTTTGTTCAAATTTCTTATTAAAAATTTATTATTTTCTTTCTTTGTAATAGTAAAAAAAAAATGATAATAAAAATTGTACTGAAAAATTGCAAAAAATTTTCAAATTAATAATTCACACAAAATATTTCATTAATTTAGTAAAAATTTCTTGGGAAAAATATATCAACTATATTCAAATTAATAATCAAACAAGCCTCCTTTAACGAAAAACGGAAAACGAATATAACCGAACCTTTAATTTTTGAAAGTAGTAATTTTGTTTAAAACCACAATGAAATGAAAACTTTAAACTTTCCTAATATTTAAAAGTTATTATGTTTGCTTAATAGAAAATATGTTAAAAAATTAAAGTTTAAATAAAAATAAAGTTATATTTTCTGATGTTAAAATCATTTACAAAAAAAAGTAAAAACGACTTCTTCAAGATAGATATTCTCTTATTACCAATGCTGTATTTATCCAGCAGTGATATAAACTAATACATAAACAATTTGGTTTTCGATTTAAAACGATTTTCTTCTAATTCTATACAATTGAAAATATATTTGAATTTTATCAAATACTCTTCTTTAACTAAAGTTGCTATGGTAACCATGCTAAACTACGTTATTGTGGACGTTAATTTTGCATATTCTTTAGTTTATTTGAAGTTAGCAAAAGCTGTTGACAAAATAACATTGATTTTCAAAAAAATATAATTTTGAAAACTGCTTTAAGTAAGTTTATTGATACTGGCTTAAAAGCTTATTTAAATTGTTTTTAATTGTTGATGAAAAGTTGGTGTTTGTGGTGTTTGTAAAAGTTGTATGTAATATTTTACGTCTTTTTTTCAAATAATAATATAATTAAAAATAACATTTATTACCAAAAATTTATATTCTCAAACGTATACCCTATGCTAATTTTACGACTACAGCACTGAATATAGCATAATATAATATAAAATTAATTTAGTCACTCAAAATATGACGAAAAACTCATTTAAATGTCTAATGACTTCTTTCACCTTACTCTTATACTGGGATTGCCTCATGTGTTGAGTACTCATTCTTATATTATGCATATAGCAAAAATTGTGTTATTCTCAAAGGTTTGTTGAGTGCTACAATAAAAAATTAATTGACAGTCGGTTAGTTTTTGGGTAATATACGAATTAGCACCCGAAAATTATAAGATATTTAATTTTATTTTCATTAAGCTAGTATAATAATTAGCTTTTTAACAAAACAAGGCATATATTGCTTACCTTAATTTTAATTTTTCAAATTTCTACTGCTGAATTTAATATATTATGTAATATAATTTTAATTAACAATATTTAAATTGAATTTAATAACTAATTTAATTGATCTTTAAATTTTAGTTTCACTCGATTTTTGCAATTACGTAATCATCAGTTAAAGCACGAACACCTTACTATCAAGACACAAGAAAACAGCAATAAAAAAAACAATACTCTACTACTGATATCACAATTAATAAAAAATTAATCAAAATACTAATAACAATAAATAATATTTAGATAATTTACTCCTACATTTATACAAACACATATACAATCACAAATGTATAATACAATTTACCTTAATGTAGGTCGCTTACCATATTTTGTTATATAACGATCAAATGATAACCATTTGGTTTAAATTTACTATACATTCTTATTTGACAACCATAAGTTAAGTAACACATGATAATAATTTATAACAATAACAATAATAATAATGGAACTTATTCTTAATACAAAAAAAAAACAGCAAAATATAAGTCATGAACATATGACACAATGGAAACCTTAAAAGGTACATTATACCCCCTTTTTTTTAAGTTTTTCTTACATACTTATACGAGTATTAATGGATTTCAGCGCCATTAAGAAAATGATTTATAAAGACTATAAATACGTACGTATTCGTACGTAATTTGTGCGTGCATATATACAATGGCGCATGTTAATATATAAATGTATTTGTGAATATTATTATATGCTCATCATAATATATAATATTATAAATCTCAACTTAGACTATACGTAAGGGTGAACTGAGGAAAATTTCATATAATAGAGGAGTTGTTTTACTTATTTTACTTAGTGTTTTTTTTTCTTATGTAGCTTTATATTGGCTTCTTTTTATTTGTTTTATTACTTATGGAAGACATTTTGAATTATATTTTACAAAAATAATTTTTTGTTGTTGTTGTTTTCGCTTTGGATGGGTTTCGAGTTTTTGTTGTTTTGGTTATAATATAACAAATGAATTGTAATATTATTAATTGTACAAATGACTACTTATGTAATAATAGAGTGATTAAGAATAAATGGTTTGATATCGGAAGTATTATTAAGCATCAGTCTATATGAAGTATAAGTCAGCACTATGGAATAACAAACCACTGAATCGGTTTGATCAGAAACTTTTAATGAACAACATAAAAACATTAAAAATCAAATTCCAAACACAATCTGTCACAACCCTAGAAATTCTGAAATTGAAATTGTGCAAATATTTATTAAATACGCAAACATAACTGACATTAATACTGCAATGCGATTAATACTGGACAAATTCATGATCCTCATTAAACTCATTATTTAAAATTCTCTTTCTAGTTCCGATTTCAATAGATCCAATTCAAAGACCCGAATAGCTTCCATTCTATTTTATATAAATTTGCGACTTCATTAAATTAAATTTTCTAAAATACAATTTTGTTTCGAATATATAAAAATGCATACTTACATGTATATACCTATTTGATTTGTTTGAAAAACTTCACAATAGCTATATAGGAGACCGTTCACTTACCGCCTTTTTCTTGTATTTGTTTTTTTTCGATAAAAACTCTCTTAAAATCAGAAATTAGAAAAATTCAAGTCACGAAAGTTCTATTCCTGACTTCAATTTATATGATATATACGTTGGCTCTTCAATTTCCATATAACAGTTTTCTACTTGAGTCTTGACAGCATTCAAATAACAAGATCCATTTCGAACCGCAGCTCCAAATTTTAAAAATGAAATACTTGCTTGAATGTATACCACAATGCTCCAATAGCAGTTAGAACTCAAATATTTTAATTGAAAATGCTGATCTCAGTTAGGCTTCGAAAATTTTTGATTAAAAATTTGTCTCATTCTGAGAACAAAATATTACTCCTAAATAAGTTAATAAGGATGACGATGATAAATGAAACGTGATGGTGAAAGCCCATAAAATAATATAAAAGAAGAAATACGCTGCTAGTAACTTTTAATATACAAATTTTTAATACAGTTTCATTTAGTTGCTGTTTATTGCCTTTTCATTTTGTTTGTTCTACCCGTCGGTTTAAGTTATCCCGCTTACAGCTTTACATCGTTTCACTTGAGTGATTAATTAATATGGCATACAAAAATTTAATGACTTGTCTGAAAAGATATTAAAAAAAAATTATTAATTATTTTTGCAGCATCTTATTATAAAATGTATGTTTGTATGTGGCTACATAAAAGTTCTCCCAAAAATATTGTTATATTACTTTATTTTATTAATACTTTAATAAAATTATAATTAATATTTTTTATTTTAAACCTTAATTTAATTAATAATAAACCCAATACTACGGTAACTTCATAATTAAAATAAAATTATAATTAGCCAAGAAATTAAATAGCCAAGAAAAATGATCATATGTATTAAATTTATAAAAGTTATAACACTTTTAATGGAGTAGTTACTTATGTATATGTAATTTGAAAGAAAAAATGGCTTAAAGCTGACACATGTCATATTAATTAATTTGATGTCAGAATTTATTGTTAATACATTAATATATTTATCACCTGCAATGAAAACACTTATCCCGTTCAACAATAATAATTCATATACGGAAATATTAATCCGTGCACATTCAAATTTCATATTTGATTTTATGGTTGGTTTTATATTCCTTATAGGTGGCGTTAAAATAAAACTTTCAAAATATTTTATGCACATTACACCACCTATAATATGTTTGTATATTGTTATTGTACTTACAATAATGTTATACTTTACTTCAAATTTTAAAATATTATTGACTTAAGAATTCAAAGAAACTCTTTAAATATTCAGAATTAGAATTTCATAAAAGTGTCAATCAAAATTGAAATTTTGAAATGTTGAAATATAAAACTATTGTAATTGAATGCAATCTGTTATAATTTCATTTTCATTTATAAAAATTATTATTTTCTAATATTTTAATTCGATTAATTTATAAAAACGAGAAACTAAATTTTAATATTTTTGTTTTTTTTTTATTTTCAGCTCCAAATGCAGAAATTCTATTAGAATATTGTCATAAACTATTAGAAAAATTTCATTACCCATGGGAAATGATGCCACTTATGTATGTGATACTAAAATATGCTGGAGCTGATATCGATGAAGCAACACGACGAATCGATGAAGGTTATTATAAAAATAAAATTTTATTCATTTTTATTAAATATTAAAAAAAAAAAAAAATTAAAATTGCACATAAGAGCAATTTATTATACAGAATTAATTTATTCAGTATAAGAGCGAATTATTTCCACTTCAAAATGGGTTAATTTAAGATTAAGCTTTAAAATTATTTGAAAAATTTTTAAAATTTATTGAAAAAATAATATCGTTTTAATTAATACAATAACTATAGGCGATTATGAATGAAATTGAAAGCGTCATTAATTTTGTTTAGTTTATATGCGGTGAGGTTTTTGCGAATATCACACTGATTCATATACATGTATGTATATGTGCTTAAAATAAAGACAATTTGACAGTGTTCGGTCTTAAAACAATTTTATTGGAATATACATACAGAGATATCATGCATTATATCATCGCTCATGGGAGGAGCATAGAACTGGTGCATGATATTGTATAATGAATGATATGAATAAGTTTCTTATGTCATTGATTTTGCTGGATAGGTGACGAACCTACCGTAAAATGTATTTCATATTGATAAATTATAGATAGTCTGTAATATCAGATATTATTATTCGTGTCAGAGGTACACTTACGAAATTGTATTAGCCTTATATGTGCATTTAATAAATTCGTATGAAGTAATCCGTAACAAAAGAGAAAATTATATGCTCTTCAAGTAAACGTGCTTTAGTAAAAAAAAAATTACACTGACTTACCCAATGTAATTGACTGTTTTTTTAAACTAGTATCATTCCGTATTTTGAATTAGGAGTAATGCTTGTAGAGGACATAAACTAAATTATAAAATCTAATGAAAAAAAATCAAGTCTGACTTTATTTTTTGACTTCAAAAATATTACTAGTAAATAAATAAATTTTTCGATTTTTTCTTTATATAGTTTAAACTTTAAACTATGAGTTTTCAAATTTTGCTTTATATTTAGTACCATTTTCAGATTATGGGAGATGCCATTCTGAAAAAAATATTTATTTTCAGAACATGTTGTTCAATAACATGTTGTTTACTACATATATAATATGAAATTATGGAAGAAAATATAAAAAGACTCCCGCTGCTCTACTGGTATAAGTCACTGGTTCGATTCCAGTTAGAGAAAAAAAAACTTTTTCAATTTTTTTGCCTTAACACGTTCTTTTGATTAAGTTATCCATCTGTTCTGCAGTTGTATGAAGGAGTTCCCATGAATATCTCATATAAACAATATTTGGTAATCATGTAAATAATAATGTATGAACCAATATGAAGAACGATTTGCCAGTATGTTCTTCATGCTCTCTAGCTCTCTAGCTCAGTTAATGCAGCGTCCGCCTAGAGAGCGTTAGGTCATTGATTCGAGTCAAGTTCGAGGAAAAAAATTATTTATTTGTTCTGCCTTGACTCGTTCTTTTGATTATAGGTCATCTATTTGTCATCTATTGTATTAATAAAATTAAATTTTGAACTTAACTTATTAGTATTTGTTTAAAAATCTTAATTAATCTCAATTAATTTTTAATAAAAACATTAAAATAAAATTTATATATTAATAATTTTAATTATATAATTTATAAAAATTATTATGTTCATGTAAAATTTTTTTTATTAAATTAATTTATATTATGTGTATACATTATAATATATAAACAAATTATTAAATTACATTATTTCTTTATATTTAAATAAAAATTTAGGACAAATTGTTGTTAACGAATATTCACGTCAACATAATCTCAATATTTTTGATGGCGCTGCATTACGTGATGCAACACGTCAATGTGGATGATAATTTTTTTAATAAAACACAAAAAAAAAAGAAAAACAAATTTCAATTACAATTAATTTTTTTGCTTATTTTAATCTTTAATTTTTTTTTTAAATTTAATTATCCTTATTATAAATTTAATAATAAAATACACAAAAAATGGAAAAAAAGTGAACTTTACCAGAAAAATGCTATGAAATAACACAAAATTTAAATTTAAAATTATTTTAAATAAATAATAATAGTAATATATAAAAAAAATATATTAAATTTATAATCATAATTAATAAGAGTTAATGATTATCAACTTAAATAAAAAAAAAAACACAAAAAGTTAATCATAAAAAAAAAAAAATTGAGAAATTATATATTTTTATATTATATAGAAGCGCCTGTAAATCTTCTTTGAATATTAATTAAAAAAAAATAATAAACAACAAAATAAATATTATATATATATATAAAAATATCAAATATTAATAATATTTACAATAATTTATTAATTAGAAGTTGTCGATCTACAAAAATAAAACAAAAATATTTATATATATATATACATTATATATATATATGTATATACATTTATACTCACTTGTTTAATAAGGATCACATATATTTTAAAATTTAAGGAACAATATAACATTTATATATATGTAAACACACACATATATATATATATAAAGATATTAAATTAAATTTAATTTAATTATTTTTTTTTTTTTTTGTTATTAAATTAGTTATAGTGCTTTAAGAGTTTTTAATTTTTTCTTTGTGGGAAAAAAAAACAATGTTTTTAAATTAATTAAAATATTTTACTTATAAAATAAAAAATATAATTAAAATAATATTTTTTATATTATATAATATTTAAATTTTTAAATTTAAAATTAAATTATCATCGATGATATAATATTATTATAATGTTTTTGGGAATAAAACACACATAGCATAACATAGATAATATGGCATACTTATAACATAACATGTAATATCCATGTTTGTTATATATTTTGTGTATACGCAACATGTAAATTTTCAGGCATGTATGCGTTTCTTAATGTATAATTTATAAATACATTTATATATAATTTCTTTATATATCTTTCATTTTATTATATAAATATATAAATATATACCTATACAACTTCTAATTTCGTTTTTGGCTATATATAAAAATATATATATTTTTTAATACATGCATATGTATATATATACAGATTATAAAATATAAATACAAAATTATATATATATATTATATCGTATATAACGTATATTAAAAATTTAAAATCAACAATCAACTACCTTACTTTTTTAATCACCGATGTCAACATTTGGTTCAACTTCAATCAACACTTTCAACAATCAACTGAACAATTTTTGGAACAACAATCAACTTTTGGAGGATCATTCTTAAAAAGAAGGACAAAAATTATGTTTCGGAAGTCTTGGAAAAAAACCAAAAAAAAAAGAAAAGAAAATCTTCAAGCAACATTTTATTATAATTATTATAATAATATTTCAACAATCAACAATCAACAATCTTATATACAATGATGTATCTACAATCAACACTATGTGATGAGGGATAAGATGTTATTGAATGTATTCGCTTATTCATCAAGCAAATTTTCATATTAAAACAACAATCAACTTATAAAAAAAAGTTATTTTATACTATTTATATAGAAAACTTTTTTCAACAATCAACAATCAACAATTTTATAATGAAATAATTGTTGTAATTTTCAAATATTATTTTTATTATTTTTAAATATTCAATTTAAAACAAATTAATTTTCTTATATTAACTAAAAAAAAAATATTAAAAATTTAATTTTCCCTTATGCCAAATTGTAAATTATTTAAGACACCATTCAACCAATTTTAAAAATTTCTAATTCCTTATCGTTATTGAAAATTGTATGTAAAGGTAAGTTTCTTGTTTTCAAATTTTTTACTAAATTGATTACTTTATAATCTATTAAAGTTTATTTATTCTAAAAAAATTTATAAATCGACGGCAAGACTATACCATTCCGAAAATGTGTTTGGTTTGTCGTGTTCTTTTGATTTGGTATTCCAATCAAGAAAGTATTTATACAGAAGTTCTAAGATATGCGCTAATCTAGTTCTAAAACAGTGCCATATATTTCTTTATTTAAAGGCATGCTTGGGGTCAACATTATTGATTTGTATTGGCAAAATTTTAGAAACTGAATTTAGAAAACTTTTGAATTCCGCCCTTTTTTTAATTCCGCTCTTAAAAATATAACTGCAATTTTGATTCGAATTAGTTCTTATTTATAATTAACCATAACATGGCAATATCTGAAGCAAAAATGAAGTAGAAACATTTTAGCTATCTTAATATTAAATTAAATGTCACATTTATTTCAAAATTGACATATTACTTCTACATAGTACGTAGTATATTATTCTTACCCAACCAATATAACAGTATATAATGCCATATCAACATAATAGTTAAACAAATAGTTAAACAAGTGATGTTAAATTGGTGATATTTATGTACTTATGGAGAAGTCGAAGTTTAAAACAAAATTAAATTATTTCTTAAAAATATTACTCGTATTTTACTATTATCGTGACATTTTTACAATTTTACAAGAAATCTCAATTTGTATTTTCAATTTGTACGAAAATTATTTTCTATTAAAAACAATTAGAAATATTTAGGTGTCATTAGTTTTTACATTTATTTTAACTAATATACACAAAACTTCACTACCTCTTTGCTATGTGCAGCCGATGGTGATTTTTAAATTTATCGTTTATTAATTAACTCGGTCCTTTTAGCACTTTTCCAACAATATTACGGAAAAAAGCAGCTATTAGTCTCACATTGTCCATCCGTGTGTCTAATACTCTTTAAGATTTAAAGTTAAAATTTTATACCACAAATAGATATTTGTAAGAAATCTATTTTTTACAAAAATTTTTTACGTAATTGGTCCTACCTACAGTTGTGGCCTTTTATTATGTGTCGAAACTATAAACAATTTTAAAATTCTACAAATGAACAAAAATAAGTGCTAAATTCCCCTACCGCGAAACAGAAAAATCGAATTTTACAGCACCAAAATGATCGTTGAAATTAACTAACACCTTAGACCGTTCTTTTTTAAGCATGATTTTTGTTTAAAACGCAAGTTGTTGAAGATTAATTGTTATCAGAAAGTTAATCACTAAATATTTTTTTCGGAACAAAATTTTTTCTTCTGCCTTCTCTTACAAGTTATGACCCAATAAACAACCGAATTTGATCAATATGTTAACGCTTTCCTTAATTTTTATTACCTACTCCAAAAAGTATGCAATAATTTTTCATTACATAAAATCATTTTTGTAACATAGTAAACTATTTACTGTATTTTCAGTTAATCAAAGGAAAAGTGCTATTTTATAACCCATTGGTTTGATTCAATTCTACTATTTTCAGTAACACCTTGAATTCATATCGAAATCTCAAAATAAAAACAAACAAAGGCATAAATTACCGAGTAATTCGTTTAAGTAAAATAAGCGCGGAGCAAAATAAAAAATCTTGATTTATACCATCTAGAATTTAATTATCATATGTAAAACATTTCATGCAAAGAGAAAAAAAATAATAATAAAAAAAATTACTGATTATCTCTAGAAAAATAAACCAAATAAAAAAAAAGAGAACAAGATAAAAAAATTATTTTGCATACAAAAATATTTATTCATTTTTCCGCTTTTTCTATCTCTTTTTAACATTTTTTTGCAATTCGATTTCTATTCAGTTTTATAATAAAGAATGAAAAGCAAGTACAAAATATTCCTTTCTTTTTTTTTTATTTCATACTATAATAACAGCGTTGTTTATATATATACGTATATACGTACGTGTTCTGTTTTAATAATTCACTTTTCACATCTATATTGCTTACTCCCCTTTTACTATATAATTATTGATTATTTAGTGTATTGTCAATGCATAAATTTCAAAATGTGCAGTTTTTTTTTAATTCAATGTCCTTGAAATTATCAACGGGTCAATTGTGAATTATTATTTTAATTTATTCGATTATCACAATTTTTTATTCACGCAAACACTAAATTAGGAAAGTATATAAAATTATAGAATTTCCTTTTCTAACACAACATATGAACCTTTTTTATTATAAATTTAAATCAGATAATAATAATTGTTAACGTAGCAAGTTTCGATTGAACAAATTAAAATACCAAAATTATTTTATAAAAAAAAAAAATATTGCATACTTTTCGGGGAAAATAAAAAAAAATAGAATCTTTAAAGATGATGGTAGCCGAATTCGATGGTAACCTAGTCAATTAAGAAAAATAATTATATTCTTTTATGATAAGACACGATCCAGAAATTCGAAAAGTCTACATTTTGGAGAAAAAACCCGAAAATCGAAATGTTGCTTAATTTGATTGGTAGAATGGGGGGGGGGGGGGGGGGGGGGGGGGTTAATTGGAAGAAAAAATTATCCCACGGAAATGAACCAATTATCAAATTTTGAAAACCGTTAAAACTCTAGTCATATACAGTTTTATAACAACAGGCCTTTTACTATTGCGTTTTGTCTGGTAATTCTGTTTCCCAATAAAAAATGTTCACTAACCAGAGAAAGTTGGCTATTTTATTGCAATTTGGAATATTATATTTGCCAGGCACATCTAAAACAGTAAAAACTTTTTTATTGCTAACACATCACTCAATATTTTTCCGAAGTCTGCCATATTATACTCTATTATTTTATTCTACTCTATAATCTATTCGAAATTTTATCGTTTAAAATAATACTGCTATTTATATTTGTTAACAATGTTAATAGTAAGTGCTGGCATAAATGTATTAGATCTACAACTGACAATTATTATTGCTCTTGAAATTGTGTTGTAGTTTTTTATATTTTGAAAACATGTATTTGAAAAACCTTATAATACCAATGAATTTGAAGTTGATAAGGCTATACTATCATAGTGTTAAATATTATAGCATTAAGTATTTTTAATACTTTAATATGTTCAGCAACGCGAACAATGTTTTCCAACTACAATTTTATACTCGGAAATTTTGTATGACCTTGCAACTCTTATGTATTATTATTCCCCGCATAATGATTTACAAAAATTTTAATAATTTGGTACAAGAAAGTTTGTCAATTCAAATATTGTTGTGTATTTGACGGAAAATTTAATGCATTTATAATTGTTTCACCTAAAATATATTTTAAACCGAAATGAAGAAATTTCATTTTTATTATTGCCCATTTAATCATCCATATATACGGATACTCATAACACTTATCTAATCAAACTAATTTTCAAATTGAAAAGTACCAATT